CTCTCTCTCTCTCTCTCTCTCTCTCTCTCTCTCTCTCTCTATCAATCTCTCTCTATCAATCTCTCTCTCACTCGTTCGCTCGCTCTCTCTCACTCTCACTCACTCTTCCGCGCAGGTATCACGCGCTGAGAGCAGCACGCAACCCCCGCGTGCGTCTGTCCGCCCCGCCCCCACGGCGCGTCTGCCGCAGCCTGCTCCCCACGCCCCCTAGCGGCTCCGACGAGCTGCTGCCGACAGTGCAGACGAGACTGAGCGCGTCACAACTGGCAGCGATCGTGACGACGCCGACGACGACGACGACGGTAGTACCGAGTGCGGCCGCGCGAGGGCGCAGCGGAGCAGACGCTCGTGACGCCATCGCGTTTGCAGACGATCCGGCAAAGAACGGCGGGCGGAGAGCGGAGATGGCTAGACTAGAGAAAGACGGGTTAGAGTCGCGTAGCGTCGACTCGGCTAGGGTAGAAGAGAGGGAAGGCTGGGGTGGGAGTAACAGGGTAGGTTCGGCAAGCGTAGATTCTGCTAGGATAGGGACGGTGAACTCTGACGTCATAAACATAATGGCCGCCCGCCTCGCTCAACTTTCTTGCGAGGCGGAGCAACAAGAGATCAGCTGTGACTCCGGCGTCGCCTCCGACAGCTCGCTCGGGAGTTCCCGGCCGAACTCGGGTAATTCCGTCGTTATCAAGCTAAACAGAATCAAGGCGGTGGACTCGCCGCTGGTAATGTGAGAGTAATGTAAATGCATTGTAGAACGTGACGTCACGTAAACGTGTGAGCACTCAAAAGAGAAGAATATGGTCGGCAAATAACATGAAATAAAGCATCTACTGTCTTTTTTATTGTGTAGTTAATGCTTTATTTATATAACATCATATATATTATAAATTATTTCTGTTGCAAGTGTCTCTTGAAACCCTCCCAAACAACATATCAAAAAGGTAGAAAACAGGAAGTTAGGAAAAAATACCTAATTTGCATAAATTAAAAATGCCCGCTTTCGCCGCTATTTTCAGTGATAATGTATGCACAGACCCATAATTTTGGTACAAATTGAATCATTTTCGCATAACATTTTACAAAGATTTTTGACTGAATATGTTTTGCAAATAAAGCAGCCAAGTACCAATTCCAAGATGAATTTAAAAAAGCGGGGTTATCCTAGCACAGATTTATATGATAAAATTTTATCAGTGGACCTCACTTCAGAAATAGGAAGCAGACCTTGCATGTAGGCCTAAGGTCCCCGCTGCATATACCAATCAGTACATAACCTGGCTACGTTACTGTTTTAGCGCATGCGCAATATCTCACCAGAAGAGCCATATTTTGTGATGAAAATGAACTTAATATTGTTATGGGGTATCTCAGCATAGATTTCTGGAATTAAATTGTATCCCTGGACCTGTTTTTATAATTAGGAGAGCGCCCTAGCCTGTAGGGTGCAAAACTCCTACTTCAGCTCCGCCCGCCCATTCCCTTGTCTTCGTTGTCTACACGCTCAGCCTCCTCCTTCTTCCACCGCCCCTCAGCTATCTTTACTGCCGCCTTCCTTTAGTCTCCCATCCCGCTCTCCCTCAGCACGCTATATTACGTACTTTTCCTTAGGCCGTACTGCACGTCTGAAACGGTGCTCGCGCATGCGCAATATCTCCCGAGAAGAAGAATATTTTACAAAAATTATGAATTTAAAATGAAGATGGGTTATCCTAGCATAGATTTATATGATAAAATTTTATTAGTGGACCTTACTTCAGAAATAGAAAGCAGACCTTGCATGTAAGATCCCCGCTGCCTATACCAATCAGTATAGGTCCTACATAACCTGGCTACGTTACTGTTTTAGCGCATGCGCCATATCTCACCAGATAAGTTATATTTTATGATGAAAATGCATTTAATGTGGTTATGGGGTATCTCAGCATAGGTTTCTGTAGTAAATTGTTATCCGTAGACCTGTGTTTATAATTATAGGAGAGCGCCCTAGCCTGTAGGGTGCCAAACTCCTACTTCATCCCCGTCCGCCCTTTCCTTTGTTTTCGTTGTCTACACGCTCAGCCTCCTCCTTCTTCCACCGCCCGTCAGCCATCTTCACTGCCGCCTTCCTTCAGTCTCCCATCCCTCTCTCCCTCAGCAAGCTATATTACGTACTTTTATTTAGGCCGTACTTCACAATTGAAACCCCCATAGGTTTCTGTAATAAATTCTTATCCATAGACCTGTGTTTATAATTAGAAGAGCGCCCTATAGCCTGCGTACTGCTAGATATTATGCATTAACTCGCCACTGTATTATAGTGATACATTTACAATAATACACAATAAACTTAGGCTCTTGTTATAGAATCTATGACACACACAAGACTAAATATGTATATGACTATATATATATATATATGTATATATATATTAGTGAGAGATTTTACGGAATTTGCGGGCGTTCGGGGCTGTCCTTAATATCCGCTAGAGGCGCCGCTGTCGCCTCCTGCGCCGGCGCACGTGACCTCCGTGACGTCAGCAGCAGAACCCTGAGTTTATACACGACGAAGACGATCACGTGTGTGAACGGAAGAGACGTCAAGAAACCGAACAGCAGGTAGACGACGGCCGAGCCGGGCGCGTCGGTGTAGTTGATCGTCGAGTATATGTAGGGGGCGCCAGCCTCGTTCGTGCCGCCCGACGCCCAGTAGACGACCGTGAAGATTGCGTAGTAGGTCAGAAACACGGCGGGCTGCCAGATGTGAAGCAGACGGACGGGTGTGGCGACGACGACGACGTCGACGATGATGACGACGGCATTGATTCCGTGCTTGATAAGATTGTCGGCGGAAATGACGTGAGACGGGTTGTAGTCGGTGATCCAGTAACCAAGTGTGACGGCCAACGCCAGACTGGCGGCCATGTTGAAGAGCACCCAGGCGAGCTTGTGCTGCCATCTAGCGGCGCCGTCGTCGAACGATGTTTCGGTGGTTGCCGAGGGTGTGTCATCGCCTGGGAATGTGATAGAGAGAGGGATGTGCAATCTGGCATTCGTCGAGTTTTGCCGAGCCATTCGACTCTAGCAATAGTATAGCTCTATCAGGATTAGAACTGGACGCGGTTACCAGAGATTTATAACATAAATTCTTAAATAATCTTGAAAATAATCACTAGATGTTCACGGATATTATACAAGATTATAATATATATATATATATATTATATATATATGTATCACAATTATTATGTACCTGTCACTCGTCGTGTGGATCTGTAGTGACGTATTGCGAGTATCAGTGACGTCACCATGTAGATGTTTAGAATCGTGAAGCTCTGATTGGTCAGGTATATCAGCCATTTTGCTCGGGCTCCAAAATGGCTGCAAAATGTCATCAAAATTTATGTATTCGTTGATTTTTATTCATTTATTAAAATTCATCGATTTATAGAGCTTATATTGTAGACAGCAAGTACGAGATAGTGAGTGTATATCAATTAAAATAATTGTTGGCTATTCGAATCATAGACTATAAACTGTGTAACATGGTTAAAACAGAACAAAAAATTGAGATTAAATATTGCATTTACAATTGTCCTTTTTTTTAATAAAATATAATTATGTTTTCTGAATATTTTGAAAATTATTATACATTATAGTTTGCATTTAACCTTGTCACGTATGAAATATTAAATTGACTAATAATAAATCATAATTTAAATGATATATCGATAAGTCGATAATCTAATTCTAAATGAATGAAAACTCCCGTCAGACAATACCTGGCAGGTAAACTGGCCCAGCTGTTGATCAAGGCGACGAAGAAGAAGAAGGCGGTGAGGAGACGGTAGACGATGTACACTACCGGCGGGCACGGCCACTGCAAGGCAAGAAATCACCCGATCAACGAATTATGAAAACCGTATATATGGAATAACAATAGATCTGTTTATAATGATAATCTAAATTTTCATTCTGGTCTTCGTACTAATTATTATTCAAATCGTATCCGTAAATCTAACCCTAACCATAACAGTACTATAACCCTAACCCTAACCCTAATTTTAACGTTAACCCTTAACTTAATCTTTATTTTAACTCTCACCCTTACCATAACCCTAACTCTAACCCTAACCCTAACCTCAGGAATTACTTCCCAGTTTTAACACAAGGGGGACGCTGCTATGAGCTAGTTGCTATACTTACGGCGCTCGTGACGAACGCAGACGCCTTGTCGTGCGTGAGGCCCGCGTTACGGTAGTGAAGCTCCCCTCCAGCCGCACATAGACGCTTCATCTCTCTCTCTCTCTCTCTCTCTCTCTCTCTCTCTCTCTCTCTCTCTCTCTCTC